TTTAACAATAATGTTCCTCAACTAGTGATTGCAAGGATTTTTGTGTTTTTCACAAATGGAAAAAATATTCCAAATGTATTTATCACATATATATATTTGCAATGTAAGAAAAATGGCCAATATATATATACACACCACCACCCTTCTGGGTTGCAGGGGCCCATCCCAGCAGTCATTGGGCAGAAGGCAGGATACACCCTGGACAGGTCGCCAGTCCATCACAGGGCAAACAGACAGACATACACATTCACACACACCTAGGGGCAATTCAGCACATCCAATTGGCCTGACAGCATGTCTCTGGACTGTGGGAGGAAACCCACGCAGACACAGGGAGAACATGCAAACTCCACACAGAAAGGACCCTGGCCACCTGGCTGGGGAATCGAACCCAGGCCCTTGTTGCTGTGAGGTGACAGTGCTACCCACTCCACCACCGTGCATACGGACTGGTTATTATATTTTTTAAATGGTAGTTTTAATAAAGTTTACAGGTATAACTAAACATACATGAACTGAATGAACAGACTTCTGTGTTCTGCATTATTCTTTGCATTAACCATGTCAGTATGCAGTAAGACACTCACACAAAATGTATTTCAAATAAACAAGATATTAAATCATAACTGCATTTTTACAGAGTATCAATACCTACAACACCTGCCTTTGCCATGTTAAATGTTCACTTGCTAATATTTAAAATTAAGATACTGGAAAGCAAATTCATTTCAAAAGATATCCAAACAATAAAGTGCATTAGACAAGTATTTTGTCTATTTTCATACAGTACATACATTTAAATACATTTATTTTTGTATGGAACTTGCCTATGTGTAGTGTTTCCCTGTTCATGTTAAAATAAATATATTTTAAAATTTATTTGGTGTGGCAATACATTCTGAAATACATTTTAGTGTTTGGAATGTGTTTTGGTGTGGATTGCAATGTATTTGACATGTATTTTACACACACACACACACATTTTCTAAACCACTTATCCTTCTGGGTCACGGGGGAGCTGAAGCGTATCCCAGCAGTCATTAGGCAGAAGGCAGAATACACCCTGGACAGGTCGCCAGTCCATCACAGGGCAGACAGACATATACATCCACACACACACTCACACTGTCTTTGGACTGTGGGAGGAAACCCACACAGACACGGGGAGAACATGCAAACTCCACACAGAAAGGACCCTGGTCACCTGGCTGGGGAATCGAACCCAGGACCTTCTTGCTGTGAGGCCACAAGAGTCCTCTAGAGTGCATAATATCATCAAAAGAGTCAGGGAATCTGGAGAAGTCTCTGTGCGTAAAGGGCAAGGCCAAAAACCACAACTGAACATCTGTGATCCCTCAGATGGCACTGCTTTAAAAACTGGCATGCTTCTGTTCTGTGATGGATATCACTTATCTGAGAAGGACTGACACACAGTGGAAACATGTATTGTAGTCTGATGAGTCAAGGTTGCTGTTTGTTCTGACTGTACATCATCTGCAGTGAAGTCAATGCTTATTAGAACATGACAATGTCAAGCTATGTCCTGCATGTGTTACGACAGCATGGCTGTGTAATCAGAGAGTGCGGCTGCTGGATTGGCCTGCCTGTCTCCCATTGACAATGTGCAAAATATGGCAACGAATGCCCCGTACAGCTGTGTATATGAAAAGCTGTGTAAAAGAATGGCAAAAAATTCCACTTTCGAGTAGTCTTCAGTCCCCAAATGGATAATAAAAGGAATTTCAGCATTTTTTTCAAAATTTTTGAATAATTCCGCCTGTGAGATACAAACAAAGTCATTCAGAGTGGTTTGATATGAAGAGGTTCATTAAAAAGAAACCTACCTACTCAGATTTCTTTACAGTGGTGGTGCTTTTATATATGTTACACTGAGGATGGTAAAATAGTGATAAATCCGACAAATCTATTATAAGACAAGGCCTCAGACATCAGGCAGCTTATTCATAATCATTTCATGTAATAGCTTTCTGTGAGGGAGCTTTTAGAGGTGGACGTCTGGTTCCTATCACCACTGTGAACAATTCTGATTCGGCATGTTTCTCTAGAACAGAGCGTTTCACACCAAACAACTCTAAATGACTGTGTTTACATCTTAACAGTTTAATTATGTAGAATTTTTTGAAAAATCAGTGGTGTTCCCCTTTAAGTGCAGTTAAAAGGAAAGGTGATGTAAAGTTGCTCCTGTCCCATTTTTGAGCATGTTGCAGGCATCAAATTTGGAATGAACATATATTTAGAAAAAATAAAGTTTATAAGGTAAAACAATTTTGTACTATTTTGAATTTAATACAGGTCAAACCGAACTCATGAATCTTTATGTTTTTGTTCACGTTTCACAAACTGTCCCAGCTTTTTTGGAACTTAGGTTTGTAATTTACCGTTTAATCTGCATTGGTTTTATCTGAGAGTAACAGACAGCAATTCTGGTGAGCTTGTGGTTTGTAGAAATGCTAGTCATCTGATGATGCATCATGAGTCAATGGCACCTGTGTTGGACCAGTCAATGGTCTGCACTGTTGCTGGCTCCATCTATATGTTCAGGCTTGGCATGTTTGGTACCCTGACAAGAAAGAAAAGCAAACCCAGCACGGCGCTCAATATGACATGATTTATTTGGCAGTAGAAATGACAACAAAAACTACAAAATGAGTTGTGATGGATTTGTAACTACACCGTACTGAACTGCACTGCCTGGTGGAAAAACAATATAATCTCCAAAAACACTCCTTTCTGAATCTGTCATGGTTGTGATGTCATACATGAACACATTTGTATGTGACTGCCCACTCAGCAGATTAGCTCTGCCAGTTCGTATTGAAGTGATGCAGTGTGTTGTTTCTGTTAAAGTTATTATGTGTTTCTACTGAGTTATTAAAGTGGAACTATTAAACGTCGTGCTGCTCCTGGCTGTCAGGAAGCAAACGGGTCACTGTCTGCTTCCATGTCCTTGAAAACTTCAAGGACCTTATTACCGTAACAGCTTGTTCTGTACATTTTAGCAGAGTGCTTTTTGGAGCAAGAGCAAGACAGAGCCAATCAAAACAGAGGTCATTTAAATATACTGTGGTGTGAAAAAGTATTTGCCCCCTCCTATTTTTTCAGGTCTTCAATCTAACCTTAATAAAATATATATATACACCCAATTCCTCCAGGAGCACAGCACTGACTCACCCAGAAAGCCACAAAAGAATCCAAATTTAAAAAAGAGACTGAAACAAAAATATAAAAATTGAAATCAATTGAAAAAAAAACGGTTTTGGACTGGTCTAGTCAATGCCCTAACTTGAACCCCCACTTAGATGCTGTGGCAGGACCTTAAACGAGCTATTTGTGCTTGAAAGCCCTCCAATGTTGGAGCAATACTGCAAAGAAGAGTGGGCCAAAATTCCTCTGCAGTGATATGAAAGTCTGATCTCCAGTTATAGGAAGTGTTTGGTTGTTGCTGAAAGAGGTACAACCAGTTAAGTTCAGGGGACAGTTACTTTTTCACATGGGTGATATAGGTGTTGCAACGTTTTTTTTCATTTAATAAATAAAACAATCATTTAAAAACTGTGTTTTTGTGTTTTGTAATGTTCTATAATGTAATTAAACCGAAGAATATAGAAAAAAATAGGAGGGGGCAAATACTTTTTCACAGAAACCTGTTCATTTCTAAGTGAATGAGCAGAGGTCGGAGAATGTCATGTAAAACAAATGATGTCCAAATTGTGTTCGGGACATAAAACCATACAAACATAAGTGGATTTGAACACGGGCCCTTTAATAAGGACGGTTAAGGGAAAGCGTTTGTTTTTCGGGTCTGTTGTGAAGCAAACATACTGTAAACAGATGGAATGTATGAAGGACAAGACACATCTGCACTGAGCAGAGAAAGAAACTCACAACGGCATCCGATCACAAATGTAACTCGTCATTTTATCTCATATCTTAATGCGCTCTAATATAAACTAATGCATATCTCTATGAGGCAGAGCAGATGTAACATTTTCCAGAGATGCATGTGCTCATGTGCTAAATGAGGAGAGAAAGCGTGTGAAAAGTACAGGAAGTAATCCTCTGGACAAGCAGAGAATTTCATAAGCATTTCCTTTTAGCAGTACAGAGTCCTACTATAACTGAGCATTCCGCTGACATGTTTAACACTCCCTACGCCTCACTCCTCTGGAGAAGTGTGGCTAGCAGGAGGAACGTCATCGCGGGCAAAATTTATGAAATTCCTGCAGAAACTCAAGGCTCACCAGAACGCAGTATGTGTGGGTGAACAGTCTGGCTGCACAAGGCACCGCAGGTTTCTGAATATCATTTAACAAAGGGAACCCAGACTGTTAAAAGGACCCATTTTCTATTTCTTATAATGTTAGTAAGAATAAAGCTCCATAGAACTTCACTTACGTTTGCATGGTTTTATGTACCAAAAACTATTTTTTTTTACATGGCTATTTTCCAACCTCTCTTTCTCCATTCGAATTAAACAGGCTGTTTTTGTCACTCAAAGCTGAAACATTTGTCATTAACATTAATAATTAACAATAATAATTCCTCTGGTTGTTGATCACTGGACTCAGTCCTGTGGAAAATAAAACTCCATTCTCTGAGAATTGTTCACAGCGGTGGTGCTGATAGGAACCAGATGCCCACCTCTAAAAGCTCCCTCACAGAAAATTATTACACGAAATGGTTATGAATGCACTGCCTGATGCCCAAGACATTGTTTTATTATAGTTTTGCACCTACAACATATTTTTAAATACATGTAAAGCAAAATAGTTCCCAAAGAAAACTTCAGATTTACCACTATGATTACACAGAAAATCTTTAACCTGTGCAGAAGGCATGTAAAGGTTCATGCATTGTTTTTGGATAGTAAATAAAATTGCCATGTGTTTTGTTGACACCATCACATTGATCAAATTTTGCTGAAATTCTGGAAAAATGTTGGAATTTCCCTTTAAAACACAAGTCGGCACCAAAGTAAATATGGTCTTCACTTGTCTTTTATTGACTGTGCATATTTAGATATATATAAAAACTGAAATGGATGTAATTGCAACAGGTGGGTTGAGCTAGGCGTTTGGAGAGAGGGTCTGCAGGCTGGTCTTGACGGTGGCCAGATGTTGCTTCCAGGAGCTGAGGGTGTCATACAGCTGCTGCCACTGTTGCTTACCAAATGTGCGATGGGTGCTGTGGCTACAGAGCAAGCAGAATTACAGGTTAGTATTGATAAACTAAGAAAAGGTTGTCCAAAAATCCAAGACAGTCCCCCCCACCCTCAACCCCCAACCCCCAACCCCCAACCCCAAATATAGACTGGGTGGATTTGCTAAGTAATCTAAAGGAGCTTGTGTGGTTTCAGGCCTATAAATTAGCTAAAAACTGCCATTTTAAAGCTAGAATGTCGTCTGTACTGTTGGCAGTTTTTTTATACTGAGCAGGTTTTGACATATTGGAAGTAAGAAAATTTGTGCAAATTTGATTTTTCTGCAAGCCATCATTTTAAACTGGCCATAAAATACAACAAAACAATTGGAAAAAATTATTTAAAAAAATGCAATGCAGTGGTACTTACACCAAATCAGACATAACATTATGACCATCTCCTTGTTTCTACGCTCATTGTCCATTTTATCAGCTCCACTTACTATATAGGTGCACTTTTTACAGACTGTAGTCCATCTGTTTCTCTGATACTTTGTTAGCCCCCTTTTACCCTGTTCTTCAGTGGTCAGGACCCCCATGGACCCTCACAGAGCAGGTACTATTTGGGTGGTGGATCATTCTCAACACTGCAGTAACACTGATGTGGTGGTGGTGGTGTGATCAGACACAGCAGTGCTGCTGGAGTTTTTAAACACCTCAGTGTCACTGCTGGACTGGGAATAGTCCACCAACCAAAAATATCCAGCCAACAGCGTCCTGTGGGCAGCGTCCTGTGACCACTGATGAAGGACTAGAGGATGACCAACACAAACTGTGCAGCAGCAGATGAGCTATCGTCTCTGACTTTACATCTACAAGGTGGACTGACAGAGTAGGAGTGTCTAAAAGAGTGGACAGTGAGTGGACACAGTGTTTAAAACCTCCAGCAGCACTGCTGTGTCTGATCCACTCACACCAGCACAACACACACTAACACACCACCACCACGTCAGTGTTACTGCAGTGCTGAGAATGATCCACCACCCAAATAGTACCTGCTCTGTGAGGGTTCATGGGGGTCCTGACCACTGAAGAACAGGGTAAAAGGGGGCTAACAAAGTATCAGAGAAACAGATGGACTACAGTCTGTAAAAAGTGCACCTATATAGTAAGTGGAGCTGATAAAATGGACAATGAGCGTAGAAACAAGGAGGTGGTCATAATGGAAGCTAAAAAAATGAAAAAGGAATAAAATGTATGACTAAGCTCCCGCCCTGTAGTGAGATAAATAACCTGCAGCCTGAACAAATCATACTCAAAAACAACAAATGAGGCTTGATTAACTTTACAATGTTGATAAAGCTACTCCCACAGCTTACCTCACGACAACTTTTCGCTGTGTCTGGTCTATTTTGCAATACACCATCTTTGTCCGCACAGCTAACAAAGGAAAATCAAACAATAAACATAAACGAACATTGTAGACAAGTCTTGCACAATCTTGGACAGTCCTAGTAATACAGTTCTGTTCCGGAGAGTTTGTTTAAAGACTTAAGATACACTTGTGGTTTGTGAGCTTTTCTCATCTCAGCAGGGAGCACAATCACAGAGAGAGTCACGGAGTTTACCGTCAATGACGAAGGCTTCCACATCATCAGCACCGATCTGCAGCTCCTGCTGCATTGTGTCGAAACAGATCTCCTTCATCTCCACGGCCATGCCCATGAAGGTCAACAGCCTCATCTTCGCCATGTTCTGCTCATGGGACAACCCTAAACACGAGCAAAAGCACAAAACAGTGTCAGTCAAATCACAGGTAACTGTAAAAAACAAGTAGTCACGGAAACTGTGTGGCCAAAAGTATGTGGACATCTCTTATTGAGTTCAGGTGTTTCAGGCACACCTACTGCTAACAGGTGTATAAAATCAAGCACATAGCATTGAAATCTTTATTAGCAGCAGAATGGGTCACACTGAAAAGCTCAGACTTTAAACATGGCACTGTCATAGGATGCCACCTTTGCCACAAGTTAATCTAAAGTGTCTGCCCTGCTAGATCTGCCTTAGTCAACTGTTAGTGCCAGTATTGTGAAATGGAAGCATCTTGGAGAAACAACAGCTCAGCCACGAATCGGCAGACCAAAAAAGCCAATTCTTCCAAACCACTTCTGGAAGCAACATCAGTAACAAGAACTGTGCGTCATACGCTTCAAGAAATGGGTTTCCATCATTGAGCAGCCGCACACAAGTCCAAGATCACTATGCGCAATGCCAAGTGTCGACTGGAGAGGTGTAAAGCACGCTGTTACTGGACGCACTGGAAATGTCTTCTCTGGAGTGATGAATCACGCTTCACTATCTGGGAATCTGATCAAATCTGGGTTTGGCAGATGCCAGAACAGTGCCGCCAACAGTAAAGTTTGGTGGAGGAGGGATAATGATCCAAGGCTGTTTTTCAGGGTTTGGGCCTCTTAGTTCCACTGAAGGGTGAGGTTAATGCTACAGCATAAAAAGATATTTTACAAAATTTTATGCTTCTGACTTTGCGGGAACAGTTTGGGGAAGAACATTTTTTGACTAAAAGAGCACAAATTCCCAGACAGGGCTGTGTTTACATGCAAAGATTTCTGCCAATCCGATTGAATAGATTCCGATTACAGATTAAGACTGAGGTGTTTATGCTCACTCTACTCAACAATCTGACGGAAAATCTCCGTTTAAATGCTCACTACAAGTAATCCGATCCAAAATTACACGCATGCATAGAGAACCGCTTAGTGTAGACGTCACCATGACAGCGAGCTTCACGTGAGTCCAGTCAGAGTGAGACGAGCAGCAGTGAGCAGTGCTTGTGTTTTTTAATTGCTTTAAAATGATGTCAGACTCAGGAAAACGTCCTTCACATGTCCTTATTAAAGAAGGCCGAGAGGAAGACGTCGTGTTCTGAGACACATAAGCTGGACGTCCGTCCCACCGCCGTCTTTTAAAGATCAGAGCATAAACTTCGTCTCCTCTGCAGACCAGTTTCTGCTCTGCCATGTTGAACGGTATAAACTTTCACTATGACGTGACGAACATGATCAGAACGGACTTAAACTTTCCGATAGGGAATGTAATCAGATACAGGCGTTTACACGGATATTATTCTTCTATTTAACAGATTATTTACAGGATTACCCACCTCGTTCAGTCGGATAGATATTGTATTCTGAATGGCCTCAATCGGACTAGACTATTCTGACTGAGGTGTTTACATGGATGTATTCTATTTCAATTGGGCTCTTATTTGGATTATCATCGGATTATCAGGCTGCATGTAAACGTGGCTATTGTTCCTGTGGTTTTGGGATGGGATGTCCAAGAAAGTGCGATGGTCAAGTGTCCACAACTTTTTGGCTATATAGTGCATATTACAGTAGTTACAGCAAATCAGTTTTACCATGAAGCAACAAACAATTGACAGTTTAATGCTGCACTTGTCATTTATACAGATTTACTCCCAATTTGATTTTGACCAAACAGGTAGTAGGTTCAGAGATCATTACATCATGACTTGCTAGAGAGACCTTTACTGCTCCAGACTAACGAACGACAGCTCTGCTGACGCTCAGTGTAAATACTTAATGTCTGGCCAACCTGACAATGTATTTACATTAATTAAATGACCACTGACACAACCAAGGAACTAGTGACCCTTCTCATTATGGGCCAATAGGAGGGGTCATTAGAGAAGAGACTCTTTGTTTTTACCCGAGTCTGAATTGTCTCATTCTGTCAGAGGCAGGGAGGATCCCAGCTCTAATTAACAGGCTGCTTTGGGCAGAAGCCAAACAAAGCCAATGCTGAGTCTCGCATTCCAGCAGCACAGAACCGCTGCAGCTCCACTGGTCAGTGAAGCACTGTGCTTGTGTTTAATGGTCCAATGAACTTATTTCTTTGAAGGTACTTAATGTTGAAGAACACAAGTTTAAATATTCATCACAGTCATTCAAATCAATGTTTACACTGCAAAAAATTATGTCTTGGGAACTGAAATCATCTTAAATCCAGTCAGTAGATCTAATTCTCACTTTATGATTGTTGTTAGAATAAGATTAAAAAGCATATTTCTTAAAACAAGCAAAATTATCTGTCAATCCATTGAGAATTGACTTGATTAAATGACTTAAAACAAGTAAAATGTCTAGAAACAAGTTAAATCTCAAGATTATTTTACTTGCCAATATATAATTATGGCAAACAAAACAGGTCTACTCAGTCAGTATCTGATTAAGCCTAGTCACCAAGCCTTGGTATAACAAATTTTAAACCCAGGAAAATTACTTTTGCAATGCTACAGTTTGTCTATTAAAGTCAACCTGAAATCAAAATAGACTCTTCTTATTTCATGTCTCTCGTCATATTAAGCATGATTCATCATATGGAAAGGACAATGAATGAATGAATGAGTGAACGAATGAATGAACGACAGTTCCACAAATGAAATGACTTTTGTCCGAGCAGAAAAAGTGTTCTGATTTTTGATGATGTCATCATGCACTGGTGGGCGAAAAATAAAATCATATTAACCAATGTCATATTTACACTTCATGGAGGGAAATGCTTAACCAGCTCAGAGACACTCCCTAATAATAAAGTTTTACTTGTAAATGTATCACAGTACAAAAGGAAAAGGAGTTATTTTACATTCATGCTGACTAAAACCTGACTAAGAACTGACCACAGGTGTCCAGCCACAGCATACAGCTGGCTAGCAAACCCATCTTAACTGGTGGTGGCAGACTTAACCGCTGCTTTCTAACCAGTCTTGCAGTGATCACATATTTTAGGCATGCAGTTGACTAGGCAGTCCTTCAGGGTTATTTGGGAACACTGGGACGCTTTAGTGTATGACGTACGGTTATCAATAAAAATGGACAAAATCACACTGCTTAGCTAAAAGCAGTAGTAGCCTGTATGTTGTCTATGCTAATGAGATGAACTTAAGTCTTCCAGTGTACATACATGAAATCATTAGCACCAAATACTAGATAAAGAATAGTGAGAAAGAAAATTACAGCAAACTGGAATCATGAGAAAAAGTTATCATTAATATTTTAAAGAGGCACTTCATTTATTTTGACACTCCCAGTTCAGCTGTGGTCTGTATTAAACAGGTGTTAGATTCACAGATAATTACATCATGACTTGCCAAAGATTCCCCTCACTGATTCAGACAGTAATGAAAGACACATGTTCAACTGCTACACTGTCTATGCTGGGATGTGGAGAACTCATTGGGGCACTTTTGCATTCAGACAACAAAGGTTATATGGTCATATGTGTCCCTCACTACCTCCAAAGTTGGTTTGAGTGCATCTCCAAGACAAATTCACACCTGTGCTAAGCAATGTCCACTTACGAGAGAGATATATATATATATATATATATATATATATATATATATATATATATATATATATATATATATATATATATATATATATATATATATATATATACACACACACACACACACATATACATACACACACACACACACCCTGTTCTTCAGTGGTCAGGACCCCCATGGACCATCACAGAGCAGGTACTACTTGGGTGGTGGTGTGTGTTAGTGTGTGTTGCACTGGTCTGAGTGGATCAGACACAGCAGAGCTACTGGAGTTTTTAAACACCTCAGTGTCACTGCTGGACTGAGAATAGTCCACCAACCAAAAATATTCAGCCAACAGCGTCCTGTGGGCAGCGTCCTGTGACCACTGATGAAGGACTAGAGGATGACCAACACAAACTATGCAGCAGCAGATGAGCTATCGTCTCTGACTTTACATCTACAAGGTGGACTGACAAGGTAGGAGTGTCTAATAGAGTGGTCAGTGAGTGGACACAGTGTTTAAAAACTCCAGCAGCACTGCTGTGTCTGATCCACTTGTACCAGCACAACACACACTAACACACCACCACCACGTCAGTGTTACTGCAGTGTTGAGAATGATCCACCACCCAAATAGAACCTGTTCTGTGAGGGTCCATGGGGGTCCTGACCACTGAAGAACAGGGTAAAAGGGGGCTAACAAAGTATCAGAGAAACAGATGGACTACAGTCTGTAACTGTAGAACTACAAAGTGCACCTATATAGTAAGTGGAGCTGATAAAATGGACAATGAGTGTAAAAACAAGGAACACCACACACACACACACACACACACACACACACACACACACACACACACACACACACACACTTCTATAAAACAAAATACTTACCGAGAGAATCAATGAAGTAAGTGGAGCTGATAAAATGGACAATGAGTGTAAAAACAAGGAACACCACACACACACACACACACACACACACACACACACACACACACACACACACACACTTCTATAAAACAAAATACTTACCGAGAGAATCAATGAAGTCTTTGTTGCTCTGGTAGAACTTCACGTATGCTGCGAGCTTTGCACTCACAAAGATGGTCAGGAGCTAATGAGAGACATTTAAGTGAGAGCTTGTAGAAACTACAGGACGTTGGCCTGTGAACGGTGTCCATAAAACTTCATTTGAATCTCTACTTACATCATGGATTAGCTCTCCCTCAAGAAAGCGCACAGGTTTCAGAGCCAGGAGATGGTCAAACAAATACGTGTTCGGATCTTTCAAGGCACGGACGATGCATCTGTGGATAGAGTGGTCAGTGTGAATGCACAGAGAGCTTGATCAAAAGCGGCAATTCAACTTCACTGCTTTTGGAATGTTAATCAATTATAATATTCAAGAAAGCAAGCAGGTTGACGAAGGCCATAACATCATTTTCATACTATCAAACCATTCTGTGACCCCTCATACCCTGTGGAAGGGGGAAATAATCATCCTGAAAGAGGTCACTCCCCGAGGATATAAATATTTCTCTTCATTTCTCACTTTAGTGGTCAAGCTTACAGACTTGTTTTAGCACCACTTAACTCTCAAATGTGCATCTGTCTTTGTAATGAGGGGTTTATGCTCTGCAGCCCAACTATAATATTCCTCTCTATGAAGTTGTGGACAGATTATTTTTTCGGGGAGTCTGATCACGTCCTGGCATTGATGTTCTCAGCTAAATGAGGACAGCTGCTCTTCTGTTTTTTGCTTATAAACCGATCAGGCATAACATTATGATGACCTTCTTGTTTCTACGCTCATTGTCCATTTTATCAGCTCCACTTACTATATAGGTGCACTTTGTAGTTCTACAGTTACAGACTGTAGTCCATCTGTTTCTCTGCATACTTTGTTAGCCCCCTTTTACCCTGTTCTTCAGTGGTCAGGACCCCCATGGACCCTCACAGAGCAGGTACTATTTGGGTGGTGGATCATTCTCAGGACTGCAGTAACACTGACGTGGTGGTGGTGTGTTAGTGTGTGTTGCGCTGGTCTGAGTGGATCAGACACAGCAGTGCTGCTGGAGTTTTTAAACACCTCAGTGTCACTGCTGGACTGAGAATAGTCCACCAACCAAAAATATTCAGCCAACAGCGTCCTGTGGGCAGCGTCCTGTGACCACTGATGAAGGACTAGAGGATGACCAACACAAACTATGCAGCAGCAGATGAGCTATCGTCTCTGACTTTACATCTACAAGGTGGACTGACAAGGTAGGAGTGTCTAATAGAGTGGACAGTGAGTGGACACAGTGTTTAAAACTCCAGCAGCACTGCTATGTCTGATCCACTCAGACCAGCACAACACATACTAACACACCACCACCACACCAGTTTTACTGCAGTGCTGAGAATGATCCACCACCCAAATAGTATCTGCTCTGTGAGGGTCCATGGGGGTCCTGACCACTGCAAAACAGGGTAAAAGGGGGCTAACAAAGTATGCAGAGAAACAGATGGACTACAGTCTGTAACTGTAGAACTACAAAGTGCACCTATATAGTAAGTGGAGTTGATAAAATGGACAATGAGTGTAGAAACAAGGAGGTGGTCATAATGTTATGCCTGACCGGTGTAAATCACAATAATACACAAGCATCACAGTCTGTGAATGTGCACTTTTGACCACAAATTCCAGCCCTATTTATTTTCCACAGATGTAAATGTAGATCACTTTAGTTACTGTTTCTATTAAAACACTGGAGAGTGGGAGAGAGCAGCAAGAGAGACAGAGAGAAAAACATACCTGTGGGCATCTACCCTGGCTTGGGAAGCATTATCTTCTGTGTAACTGCCCAACAGCTCTACCATCACTTTAGCTGCAGCCTCACTGTAGGGTACCAAAAGCACATGCTGAGGAACCAGTATTAAACTAAAAGGCAAATCCATCTTTAAAAGCAAAAGTCTTTATGTGAAAACCTCTTCTTGCAGTCGACCAGCGCCTCATACACCAGCCTCAGCAGAGTGTGTTTCTTCTCTGTGGTCAGGTTCCAGTCAACGATCCACTTACGTACCTAAAAAAGAATGTAAAAAAAAAAAAAACATTTTATTTTAAACTATTAATAAAAGTAGATGACTCTGCCATTAGTAATTGTGTACGAAGTGCTTATTGAATTCTTGTATAGAATAAGCATGTGAAAAGCTTTTCTTAGACATGTTAAATTGATGATTATACCTGGTCCAGATCAGTGGGGATGAAGGAGATGGCGTTGCAGGCAGCTGCCACCTTGATCAGACTGCAGTACACAGTGTACCTCACCGGTGTGTTCTCATCCATACCGTGGAACAGGTTGCTCAGGCTGATGAGTTAACAGATCATTAAAAAAAACAAATAAAAAAAAACAACATATATTTATATGATCACAACAGCATGCTAAGCAATGCAACAAACTAGAGATAGACAGGCAGTGAAGAGTCCAAATCTGCATATAAAAATTTGTTATTTTATTGTTTGCTGGCTACTGTCCTCTATTTTTCATCAATTGGCTTGTTTTTTTAGTATTATTGCTGTTATTACCATCACATTAATAAGATGCAAACCCGTTTTCTTTTTCTTAGGGTCAAAGTTGTAACAGTTACCCGACATGCTTCCAAAATTACAGGGAGTATTCTGAAGTTGAACTGACTTGAACTGAGCAATGCCTTTTTTTTGTACCCACTTCCCCCCCTGATCTAATTTAGTTGTGGATAATTCCACCTGCCAGTTCCTCCCATCACGATAGCAAACTGGGACAACAGAGTCTGGTTGCAGATATGCACTCTCAGCCAGATGCACTCTCAGCCCCAGTGACGTCATGTGCACATGCACTCTCTGCCACAATGGCAGGAGCAGCCCAACTGCACGGTAACCTTTGGCTGCTGCTGCTTAGCGACATCATCACTTAATCCATTTTTCATCCATAACTCAGCTAGAGAGTTACATTTAATGAACCTCCCTGTTGAAAAAAAATCATAGAACCCATTAAAAGTGTCTGTTGGTTCCTGGTTATTTTCAGTTGTCGCCAATGGTGTTCTGTGTTTTCCTGATGGGTTAATATCACAGTTTAAAGGATTCAGATCATTCAATCAGGTGTTTGGGGCTGATTCCACATACATTTGTTCATTTCCTAGTGGTCTCTAACCACAACCATCAAGCCAATTCCCAGTTCTAATCGTCTTCAGCATGGCTTTAATGAGTTTCAGTAGCCTGTTTGTTTTTTCTGCGAATGAACCAGAAATTCATGTCTTTTCGTTGTGTTAGGTTTTATTTTGGAAGTTTCCACATTTAGTTACTTTATTATCGATATGACAGCGTTAATATATGTTCAGTGTAGCCCTTGTTGGCCGGCAGTACATGGTTCGCTGTTTTTCCTCATAAAACCAACAAAAACACTGTCGTGGCAGAGCGGCACTGACGTCATCAACAGGCTGGCGGTGCATGTCAGGCTGAGAGTGCATGTCTGCAGCCAGACCCTTCTCAGCTGGGAGGGTGTGGAATAGCATGTTCTCAAAATACCACTAACGTAACATCTTTGGACATTTCAATGCGGTTAGGGGAGAACTCTAACTGCAAAGTCACGTCAGCTGACAGTGGTTTTCAAGCCACTACAGCTGTGGCATCATCACATAGTAAATTTTTGTAGATGACTGATTAAATGAATGAATAAATCAATTAGTGAATGACTCAGCTAAGTCACAAATGAATGGGTGGATTCCACACATACAGCTGCATCCTGAGAGAGGGCCGCTCGCCTTCCCGGAACTTCACCAGCTTCTCACACAGGCTCTCTATCAGCGCCTCCTGCTTCTCCGTTTCCAGAATCAGCAGCAGAGAAACGATGCTGTTCATCACACTCTCCACATCTGCACAGACGCACACAAGAGCATGATGTTGAATACAAAACCCCAACACTGTACACAACTACACAGGGTCAACACTGAAGGCTTGTTCATGGCCTTGCAGATACTCACCCTTGTCATCGTCTTTTAGGCAGACATCGCAAGCCTCGATAATCTGAGCCAGGTCAACATGGAGGCCTCCTTCAGAGTTCTCCTCCGAGATCTCAGCTCCTTTGGATTTGATGTAGGCCCGGAGCTCTGAAGCCTATATACGTAAGCATAGGAACACAGACAAACAATTATATACATCAAGAATAAATATCACTTGCGCTTAAAATGTGCATAAAATAGATTTTCACACAGTCAGTGTTAACATAAAAACACACTTATGTACATTTATCAAAGTAATAAAGAGTTCACATAGGCTCACACATCTTATAACAGCACAGTACCAGCAACTTCACCGTTCTAGGAGTAATATTTCGTTGTGTGCTTCAGATGGCAAGATTGCACTCGAGTGCAATGATGTCAATACAGTACAAATACATGTATAATTAACATTTAAAACAGTGCACAGAAATTTAAAACCATCACAAATATGCACCTCGTCTCTCTCACAGTTGCAGATTCTCAATGAAACCACTGGCAATATGGCAAAACTGTGAATATTAGGCACCAGGATGCACTGCATTCATTTTTTTGTATTGCTTATAGTGCAATCAGGCTGTTCTGTGAAATGCCTGTTTTACCCAAGGAGATGCTTCTTATCATTATTTTGTGTAAAATACTATTTATATTTGTCTGAGCTAAACTAACCCAGTTTCCCAAAAGCATCTTAAGAGTTAAGATCATCTTAAACAGTAGAGAGAGTGTTCAGTGTGATGCTCGCTCTCCCATTTCCATTTAAATATCGTCTTTGTGGTCAGACCCAGCCCTGTGGCGTGTATAATTAGAGCTCAACAGAACCAAGACCACTTGTTCCCTTTAAATATTTAAAATCTAACCAAATCTGGACCTCAGAACCTGAAATCATAATTAACCTGATCATATGTACAACATTGCACCCCTACAAGCTAATGACACGACATGAAGTGCACGTGCACAACAGAACTGGGGCCGACACTCACTGGCCACTTCACCTTCCTTACAGGTGTGCACTTACAGACTGCAGCCCACCAAACTGGTACATTTCTGACCACAGCACCACTGGGCACACATCATTTGGGCGATGGTCCACTCTCAGTTACTAAAGAACCACACATTTAAAAAAGATGGCTCTTCAAAGGCTATTTAGTAAAGGCAATGGTTCTATATGGCACCATTTCATGCTTTAAGAAGCTTAAGTGGTTCTTTGCATGGTGAAATGGTTCTTCAGACTGATGGAGAAGGTGTATAAGGTTGTAGACAGAACCCTTCTGGAAACGGTTCTGAATGAGATCAGAAGGTTTCTGCTACTGTAACAAGCTCGCCATCATAACAATAGCAGAAACCATTTTGGTGCTACACAGAACCATATCAAAAACATCCCCCATCAATCTGACAAACCAGTTCACCACGCAAAGAACCGTTTAAGCACGATATGGTTCTTTACAGAACTCGTGGCGCTAAATAAAGCATTCCTTTCACTACAGAACCCCTGAAGAACCCTCTTTTTTAAGGGTATGGAGTCTTAACACATGGAGGATGGCGAACACAACGCGCATCAACAGCCTGGTCTCAGTTTTTATCTGTATCAGTGAAGATCTGCCAGGTAGGGCAGTGACTCTGATGCGGTGGACAGCGCGGTTTGATAGGTAAGAACACTTTTAATCCCCGCCGGTTCGTCCATGTGAGCTGAGAGCGATCAGGCTAGCGCGGCTAGCGCGGCTAACGCGGCTGTGCTGGGATGTTTAGCTCCCGGCTAAAGCTTAAAGCACCCGATCTCCTCAAAATACCGCATCCTACTGAACACTACAGGTAAATATCGTATCAGCCGGTGTTTACGGTACCTGATCCTCCTCGGTAATGTCGATAAAAGCCGGGACGCTCATATTTATCCAGATTTTCAGAGCGCAGATAAAGCCCACACTCACGGCGAGGCTACGGAGGCCGGAAAAGGACTTGCGTAGTTCCGGCGCCCTCTCTTAAAGAGACATGGCGGCCTACACTGTAGTTTTATTATTGATGAATGCTCAACTGACAGAGCTCTACGGAGCCCCGCTGGTGACGTCCTGTGTAAATAAAAATAATGCGTGGCCACGACTTAGTAAAGCATGGGAACGAGATCACGGCTTACTAAGTCGTGGCCACGCATTAGGATCTCGTTCCCATGCTTTACTAAGTCGTGGCCACGCATTATTTATACAGGATGTCACCAGTGGGGCTCCGTAGAGCACAAATATATGCCGTGGTTAAAAAAAAAAAGTTAATGACATCGCATTCCCTCGCAAAATATATGCTCGTGAGACAGCAAGCAAACGCAGGACCAGAGGTGCCCAGCGACATTGCCTACATTAGAGCTCTGTTTTCAGCATATTTAACGTTAAAAGCTGTTTTCCCAGTTTCACCAGTCGGCGCTGAGTTTATTCAGCTGTTGTTCTCTGCAGGTCTCTGTAAATTACTGTACGAGGATAACTGACCTCAGTCTCAGTTTGCGTCACTACGGAGCCCCGCTGGTGACATCCTGTATAAATAAAAATAATGCGTGGCCACGACTTAGTAAGGCGTGGGAATGAGATGATTAAGTTGTGGCCACGACTTAGTAAAGCGTGGGAACGAGAACCTAATGCGTGGCCACGACTTAGTAAGCCGTGATCTCGTTCCCATGCTTTACTAAGTCGTGGCCACAACTTAATCATCTCATTCCCACGCCTTACTAAGTCGTGGCCATGCATTATTTTTATTTATACAGGATGTCACCAGCGGGGCTCCATAGGATCTCGTTCCCACGCGTTAATAAGGCATGGCCACGCATTATTATTATTTATACAGGATGTCAGCAGCGGGGCTCTGTACGTCACTATCAGCAGAATCATGTTTGATTTTGAGAAGCGACGCTGTGTCTTTATATTTCAATCCGAGATAAACGTAAAGTTCAATGAGCTGCTTCATGTCTGAACTACAGCAAAGCACAGCTTTTGCAAGCCGTTGCATCGTAATGCAGAACATTTGCGAGGGAACGCAATGTCATTAACTTTTTCCTTTTTTTTTACCACGGCCCCTTAGGGGCTCCGTGACGCGGCGCCCTATGCTGTAGTTTTATTACTGACATATGTTCAACTGACAGCACTTTAGTATGGAGCCCCGGAGGGGACGGAGGTAAAAAAAAACCCAATTAATTCGAGCGAACGTTCGTACGCACGTTTTCTCTTATTCGTGGCCACGATTTCTTAAATCGTTCCCTCGTTTTCTTTTAACCGTGGTCATGTTTTATTTTTAACGGAACGCACGTTGTTTGTGTTTTGATAACAGCTCCCTAAGACCATCTGACGGGTTTTGACGTGTTAGATTGATGAGATAATTGGCAGAGAAGCTCATCAGGTCTGATTCTGATTTTGAGGAAACTGCAGCTCCTCCTCACAGCAAACGGCCCACGGTGTTAGAGACCATCTCACAATTACAAGAAGAAATGATCAGCGTTTCAACATCCTCACATTAACATATCTATATCTAATCAATAGATCTAATAAACTCTCTCGCCATTTGACCTCATCCCACATGCATGTTTCAGTGTGTGTTTAATTTGAGTTTGTTGAAACGTTGACGCTGATCATTCCTTCCTGTAATTGTGTGATGGTCTCTAACACCGCAGCTGATCGGGGAGCAGAAACAGGGCTAAGCGGCTGCGCTGCGTCTCTATCTCTGTTAAATATGATCATTAGGCAGTGCAGTTTAGTGAAGATTGTGGTTGTAGTTTGTTGTCTTCCTTCATTTCACCACCAAACTGCAGCTGCACTGATGAATCTGAGGGCCGTTTGCTGTGAAGAGGAGCTGCAGTTTCCTCATAACCCCCAAATCAGAATCAGACCTGATGAGCATGTCTGACCATCATCTCATCAGTCTAACTCCTCAGAACCCGTCAGACAGTCTCAGGGAGCTGTTAGCTGCTTCTGCACAGGACAAATAACACGACCTGTATCTACTACATTAATTGTGCGCACAAATAAAAAAAGTAAACAACATGCGTTCCGTTAAAAATGAAACATGACAACGATTAGAAGAAAATGAGAGAACGATTTAAGAAATCGTGACCACGAATAAAAGAAAAACGTGCGTAGGAACTGCAAAACGTTCGCTCGAATTAATTTTTTTTTTACCCTCTGGGGCTCGGTACTTTAGACTGAGTATTATAGGTTTAAAAAATCATTAAATAAAATAAAGTCTATTTTGAAGGCAGGGTAGTTTTTTTGCCTGCGATTCACCTCTGATACAATAACAGCTCAACATTCACATATCAAACTGAATTTCTTCTTAAACCATCAACAGGGGGGGAAAAAAGAAGAAGAAAGAAAAAAAAAACAAAAAAAAACATAATGTGGGATTTAAATAAAAATGAAACGCTTTAACCCTTTAATGTTCTGCTCAACCACTTAGTAGAGCACATTCTGAGTCACTATATATGCCACATTGTCTTGTGAGTGTCAGTGAGATGACAGTAAAGGGACAGACATTGTGTAAAATTCAGTCACATGGAAAAGTTCAAACACTCCTGGGCAAATAATGTTTTGTTGTTTTTCTACATGAGAATAAGCTAGTCTTCTAAAGGGAACAACCTTTTTCTACAAATTTCTATTTGTTTGCTGATGAAAAACAAAAAATATCATTCAAAATTTGTCATGTTTTTTCTGAATATGTTAAATTCAGCCGATAAACAGTAACGGTGCTTTATAATCCGCTTAAGTGTTCTCTGTAGAGGATGTGTTAACTTATTTTCACTTATGGTGCATTCCAGTCGAACTGGGAAGTTGGAATGTCTGAGTTCCCAGTAGGAAGTTTCAACTGGAACATGCCCCCAAGTCAGATTTCCTACTCAGAAACTTGGGAGAGCCTCACCAACCCTGACCTCAAAATCCAAGATGGCTGCACCGCACATCAACAGTAAGTAAAAACAAACAAACAAACAAAAAAAATCTCGACCGTTTGGTAGACGTGAATATTTTAAGAACTGTGGGGTCAAAAAACGAAAAAAAAACCCCCACCAATTGTTTTTATTATTGCCTCAAACAAATACATACATACATACATACATCATCTAAACCGCTTATCCTTCTGGGTCGCGGTGGGCCTTCCGCCCAATGACAGCTGGGATAGGCTCCAGCACCCCAACGCGACTCAAACAAATAAAAAAATACAAAAAAAAATAAATTCCATTGCTTTTTTCTTGGTGAGGTCATTTAAGGGTTAACACAGCAATGGATTTACAAAATGTCTTGTTTTGCTATTGGTGTAAAATTCATTAATGTAGATTTGTATTTACACAGATCTGAGTTACAGTAGCTATATGTGAACTGAAAATGTATCATATGTACATAAAATTTGCTATTATCGTGATTAGGTCTATTATAAAGCGCTCAGTGGGGTTAAATAAAGGGTCATCAAAAAGTATTTAAATGTAGGCTTTTAAGGAGAATTTCTTTACCTATCTTTCTTATCAAGTCTAGAAGGAGATCAACCCTAAAATAATAGAGGGCAGTGTAGAGGCCTACATTTCCCATAATCCTCTGTATCAGCGCAGAAGCTGAGCAGCAAATGCCAGCGCTGACACAGTGGAGGAGAGGGGAGCCGAATTCGAGGAGTTAGGACGATTCTAAGGGGCTGTGACTGACAGGGGTCCTGAAAACTATTACAACATAAGGTATTTTTTTTACCTTATCACCGTTAATAGAATAGTATTATTACAATGCACTTATAAACTGTTTCTTTTCTTGTTTTTGGCAAAAAGTAAACATTCAGAGAACCTCTCTATTTCCCAAACCCCCCTCTGTTTGCATGAAATGGTTCGGTCCAAACCAGGAGTGAACGGTACTCGTTAGCAGTGAACAGCCAGTGAGGAGTGAGCATCATGTGTCAGCTTCCTAAATAAAAATCTGGCTTCCAAAACTGGAAAGAAAGACAGGAGAGAGAAAAGAAAGGGAAACAGTCTCCCAGAGAAAGGTGAGTGTAGTCTGTGAGTGGAAATGATCCCTTAGCCTGTTAGTTAGCTGACCAGCCTAGATCTAGTAAAGAAAATAAGGTTTCAGCCTCTCAGTTTAAACAAAAACGGGTTCTTACTTCATCAATATACTTGGTGGTCCATGCCATCAGCATTAGACTCAAAGATTAATCCATTAACAGCAGAAGGGTTTTTGTGCCGTAGCGCAGTAATACAGAGTTCAGTTGTTGTGAGGTGGTCATAGCCTTGATTTTAGGATTTTGGGACCGGAACGATCTGTTTTATAATAATTATTAATTATTAAACAGAGTACCACTTGATAAAGTGCATCCTACATCCTACAAAGCTTGTTAATTAGTTAATAAGTTGAATGAGGCGTGCTAAATGAGGGAAAGAGCCTGAAATATGCACAGGGTGTCCACTTTGGGAACCCTGCATCTAATGTGCTTTGCTCAACTGCTGTGATGCCCCCACTTCTGAACTAATCATCGGTAGCTACGTTTCTTTCTTAAGAAGCTTTCGCACGAAACACTGTAGTGCTTTGGAATTTCCACTCAGTAGGAAAAAGTGTTTGTCAATACATGAAATGTAAAGGCATACTGACTCATGAACCAGTGAATCAAACATCAGTTCACTGAAACAAGTGGTTCCAAAGAATCAGTTCAGTAAACTGGATCATCACTACTCAGATGGCTTATGTATTATTGGCTGTGTCTAAATCTGAAGGCAGCTGTCTCAATGTCTTGCTGTCTGTGCTGTCTCATGAGTCAGTGCTTTAGAAGGTGGCGTTGTGCTGTGACGAACTGAACTGCGTTTGAGATGTGCTTCGATAGCAGCGATATCTCATATAGTTGCCAAGATAGCAACAGCTCACTGCTAGCTGTTGGTATTATCCATTAGCATCCTTTAAACAGAAAAAAACTATTTTAAGAAGGCTAGCATGCTTTACTTTTATAACCAAAACACAAAGTATTGTATT